AAGGACGATGTCCGTAATAGGACCCCGGTCTCGGTCGGCGTAGAATGTCGATCTTCTCGGCGAGCGCGAGAATCTCGTTGAAGTTAGAGAGTCCGCGCAGCATTATCTCGTGCGAGATGTCCGGCTTTTGCCCTCCGACGTAACGGTCCACCCGCTCCGCTTCGTGCATGTAGCCGACCTGCTCGCAAAGTGCGAGAAAACCGCTGGTATAGTCTTGAACTGACCCGAGCTGGCGCCAAGTGCGCAGTTTCTGACGCGCCGAAATTGAAGCCGCGATCGGCTCAAAACGCGCCTGAAGTCCTGCGCACCACGCATCCCACGTGCTGTATTGGGCGGTCTCGCAGAACGAACTCCAGGTGACAGCTGGACCCGAGGGCCCTTCCTCGTGCGACGGTGGCTCGTAGGCGCGTGGCGACGTCACGATGACTCGCCACCAGTCCATGGCGCGGCCTCTTAGCAGTGAAACCGCATACCGGATCTTTGCGGCGTCCGACTCGACGTAATTGGCGTCGAAGAAAACGTTCATCGTGAAGACCCACGATTGAACTGTCGGACCGCCGCGTTGACTTGGGTCGAAGCAGGGCGGGCGTTGCGGCTTGAGCGGCATTGGTGCCATGTTGGGTTGTTCGCCACTTGTCGCCGCAAATTCCACGTGCCGACGGACTTCTCGAGGCTCCCGTGGGCTTGGTGCGATCCTGTTTCCTCCCATGCCAGGCATCGGCTGGGCGGCGCCCTCACTGGCTGCGTCTGAGCGTTGTCCCGTGCTGTCGTGTTGTGTTGGTGTGCCGGACGAGATGATGATCGGCTCATCCGAACGCGCAGATGCGTTTGTTGGTGCGTGGGATGTCGTCGGTACGTTCATCGTGGATTGTTGACGGGCGGAGTCACGTTCCGCCGTGAGGGTCGCGATTTCAAGCGCCGAATCCTCCAGTTGACGCACGAGACGATCAAGTTGCTCCTGCGTCAATGTGGCGAGCGTGAAATCGGCCATGGCGGGGGTGTCGAGCAAGCTCAGCGAGAGCCTCGGTCGTGGCCGTGCGTGCTTGCGAGAGAGCACTACGAGCGGCGGTGCTGTATCGCTGAGAGACGTCTACCCCCCCCAAAAATTGAGATAGTGGGGAAGTGAAGGTGTGGATGCGGTCCGAGATGGGATCGTAGGCTCTGAATACCAAGTGTTACGAGTGCAATTGAGTGAACGAGCGAGAATTGCACTATCGAAGCAAGAGTCCAATGAGCGAAGGTATGAGCGAAGAATATATAGCGAAACTACAGTGGTAACGGTAATGGTCGCGCGACGAGCCTGGGACTGAGGTTGGGAACGTGTCGAAGCGTAGGCCCGGAGCGCGGGTTACCAGCCGAGCCGTGAGGTCGGGATGCGATGTGCGAAAATGGCGGGATGATGAATGATGCGATGGTTGTGAGTGATAACGGTGCTGACTGAGGTGCTATAGTGATGTACGCGTTGAGCAGAGATGCGAAGTAAGGAAAAGGGAATTTCCTTACAGTCCCTGAAGAAATTATTGGAGGAGGTTGAAAAATAAGATTTGTCTGGCAAATTTATACTGGAAACCATCCAGAAAGAAACTCACAATTCCCTAAAAACAGGTTGAAGAATTAGTTTGCAGTATATATATTAATATATAGCGAGAATGAAATAATACTGAATACACGTAAAAATTATGGAATATTAGGGCGTCTTTATGGTCCTTCAACATGCCAAAGACAAGAAAGGATGTTATGGAGTAAGCAAAGGACAGTATATGCATGTATAAAATGCATTACTATTCAACATGATTTTTAGGATGTGTAGCATTTTTCAATTCTGCCCGTCCGGACGGCCCGTCGTCCGGACTTCTTTTGGGTTACTGATGCCGTCAGTCTTCGCTTTGTCTTTGATTCGTTGACGGATTTTGCTGAAGTCAGTAACCCTAAAAAAGTCCGGACGGTAGGCCGTCCGGACAGTCAGAAAGAGAAAGGTTACACGCCCTTACTGCCCTTCAATCATCATTCGAAATGAAACTCGAACATTCGATACACACTTTCTACCACAACGCAAGCTGATCGCAACTGAGTGATCCTGCGCTCATCATGACCAAGCGGTTCGGATTTCATGGACATCGGATCTGCGGTGCTTCTTCTGTTTCACATGCACAACCGCTAATTTCACGTGGACCCTGGATTGCCGCAGCATGCTGTTCGTGGCCAGCTTGGCTGAGAGGGATCAGTTGAGCCACAGGGAAACAGTGATAAGCGAAAACTATGATGACCATTTCTCCCAGCTGGCTCACCCCACCAAACCAGTTCGGCCATTTTCAGGTGCATGCCGCTTAGCCTAGGAACGCTTCTCCGGTGCATGCCAGGTTCATACAGTTGTCTCAGGTTATTAAAAGTCTCTTGTAATTTCACACGAATTCGAATATTCGATTCGAATTAGCACAAACGGTATGAAACAGATGCAACTTCGGTATACGCAAACCGGAATCGAAACTGGTTGGCTCCCGAAGCTGAATTTCTGACGTCACTCAATGTAATGATTTCATTTCTCGCCGAATATACGGAAATTTCTGCTTCGTACCAGCTGTTTTTCAACGAATTCTAATGCCGAATCGTTTGTACTGTTGGCGCAGGTGGCGGATGTTTCGCGGGTCAAATCAACAAACCATAATGGGACGTGCATTAGTTGGAAAGGGTAATCTGAAACACGAGAAATCTGCCCAAGTGTTAGAAGAGTTGCCCCTACCGCTATTAAGAATATACGGTATGGTACATATGTAGGTGTTGGCACGTAATTAACGTTATGGAATTCCACCTATTAGAATGTACATGTACGGAAAAATATTATGGTAGGGGCAAATTTAAAAAAAACCTCGGGCATATTTTCCTTTTCTAATTTGTGCCCACCCAAAAAAGGGTTTGCCGATTTGCCCGTCTCGTCACCTGCGTCAACAGTACAACAGATCTAGCATTAGGATTCGTTAATAAAAACATTGTTGCGAATCGGAAACATTCGTAAAATTTGGGCAAAAATGCTATCATTCCACTGAGTGACATCAGAAAATGCAGCATCGAGAGCCAATCGATCCGATTCCGATTTGCGCGTAGTCCGAAATTGCATATAATTTAGACCTATTGTGCCAATTCGAATCGAATCTTGGAAAGCGTGTAAAATTACGGGAGTAATTGTTTAACCTGAAACAACTGTACGCACCTGCCCTATCACCTGGCATGCACTTGAATAGCGTTCCTAGGCTGTGCGGCATGCACCTGAAAATGGCCGAAACCAGTTTGTCCTGAGAGTGAGTTGTGTACAGTACATCGTTTCGCTCACGGTATGCACGCCAGTGCACCACAACAAACCGCCGCCTAATTCCTCTCTTTTGAGGGAGGAAGTCGGACGGGTGGGTTTGGCGAAGAGGACATTGAGATTAGTACACCCTGTTTTTTCGATGATTGACCAGTCGGGAGCCCCGGCTACAGTGCGCACCTGTGCTTGGATTCAGCGGGCTGGTGCTTGCAAACGAAATTCAGGAGAACGGTAGACAACGGTTTATGAAAAAAACGTGCTTTTGAGTTTGGTTTCGTGCGGCAAAAGTGCTTTTACGGTATGTTCTGGGACCAATTTGGACGCATTGATGTCAGTACAACCAGCCTGTCAATATGGCGAATATCAGTGTGGCACGAAACAGGGTGTAGGAGGGGACGAGAGAAACAGAGTGATCATGTTGGAGACACACATGCAGCACCCATGCTTTAGGCGAACCAAAGTGCACACCCTATTTCACAAATAATATAACGGGCATGTTTTCCTCCCCAGTTCACCCAGAATAGAGAAACAATCAAAGTTTCTTGAAATATGGGGCCTCATTCCTTGACCTGGCTGTGGAAGTAGCCACTGTCTGCCCGAATGGTGGAATGTGGTTGGTTCGCCGTTGTGTACGCTGCCGCCACTTCTTCCTGGCGCATCGCAACCCGACAAGGAGCTCGAGAATTTGGGCGAGCGTGCCCAACAATCACATGCAGCAGGCAGCACACCATCGAGTCTCCTGCTGCGTCATATCTGATCGAGGCAGCGGACGCCCGACCAGAAGCAAGCAAGTCCCTCTCCAATTGGACGGTGGCATGGAGTGGCCTGCGCGAATCCGCAGCGGAACACCTCTCTAATCAATCATCAATACACTCCTGCGATCACCACAATTCGTGAAGCAGCACAAGCAGCCAGGAACAGTCTTCTCATCCCCCATGCAACAAACAGCATCGAGTGGAAAGCTGGTTCAGAAGCTGACCAGCTCAATGTAGGAGCTACACCATTTGCTAGGCACTGTGCTGCTAACTTCAAGCAAGAAGATAGTGCGAAAGCATGCTCGCTCTTCCAAGAAGCTGTTAGCATATCTATCAGTTGATACAGAGCTGGCCCACACGAACAACACACCTCGACAGCCAACGAGCAGCCAGCTGGTGATTAATCGTCTCCAGAATCTGGTTACTGGTCGACATCGTTATGACTGCGTAAACATCCTTCGTCGTTACCCGCGTCGGAATTTCCCTTGCCGCTGAGCAGTCTCGCGCGACACCTTGATCTTGCAACTGGTTACACAGATTCCGCGTTCATCTTGTCGTCGCGGTCCGATTGCCTAACAAACGGCCAAAATTCACTTTTGTTACTATGGTTCGGTTGCTGCAGTCTGGACAAATATTCGGGAGCACTCACCGCACGTGGAGAGACCAATCGGCCTAGAGGTACCAGCGGCCAACTTGCGGTCAATAGGAAACTTGAGCCGTCTGATACTCCTTGTTAAGGAGCTCAAACCGTTTCTGATAGCCGCGGTCACGCGATACACGAGCTAGTTGGCCCCGCGCTGTTGTGATGTTTCCCCTCGGCCAAGGCGGAGGACGCAGAAATTCCTTTTGGAAACGAGTTTAAGTGCACTTATTTATCGGTTACCGTAATGCAAGAAGGAAGTGACCGACGAAGCAGCGGCACAGCTCATGACGGTGGCGCGATGCGAGGGGAAGAAGGCGACGAGTGGGTGTGGGCGGAGCATGGTAGTGACGGTATCGAGGGCGGAGGCAATTGGGCGGACATATGGGCGTTAATTGATGGGTCGGGCGGGGTTACAGGGCGCATGGTTAAGGCGGCCAGCGAGTTGGGCACCGCTGCGGCAGCTGCAGTAGCAGGCAGATTCAGTTCGTTTTCCGGATCCAGGGACAGCCTTGTTTCGGCAGCTGCGGAGCAGGTTCCGTCCAATTTTTCGGGAATCGATGCCATGGAACGCGTGGTCTCGTGGACCGATCTGATTGCGAGTTTCACCGCGGTCAGGCCGGAAGGCGCGTCGCCAACTGTTGGCACTAACGAGCAGGCTCATTTGAATGAGCTCTCGGCGGAGGACCAAACGCCCGAAGCTTGTGCAGGGCCCAATGACCGTCCCGACATCGCCGCGGGAATGCCAACAGAAGTCGCGGAAGAGCAACAGTGCGACGAGTTTGGCTGGTTGGCGAACGGCGTTTGTCGCACAGACGTTGCGACGGGTGTTGCGGCTGCGGCGGCTGAGGAGACAGTGGCAGAGGCGCAGGGGACAAACGCCGGAGCTGGTGATCGTCGTACCGTGACACTCTCCCCGACCCCGCAGCCTGAACCATGCTGCGGCCAACAAGGCACGACAACGGGCGGGGCTGGCGCCAGGACGAACGGTGCTATGAGCCACAGCACCAGTGCGGCCCCACTGTCCACGCCCAGCTCTTCCCCTCTGCCCGATCTCGCTTCCTCCGCCACCACTGGTGGCACTACCACTCCCTCCTCGTGGCCGGGCGTCGGGGCTTGGGGGAGCGCGGAGGAGCGCACGAGCGAGCTTGGAGGCGGGGCGGACGGAGGACGAGAGAGCGGGATGGTTGGACGGGGCGTGGAAGAAAGCGGAGCAGAAATGGGAACGCGCGCAGCCGCGGAAGGAGAAAGGGTGGTTGGCGGGAGGGGGAGTGCCGGCTTGGGCGGCGCAGACGGGCTGGCTATGGGGGAAACGGAGGGGGCGGTGCGAGCGCGCGGGCGAAAGGGCGGAGGAGCGAGTAGCTGGGAGTGTAGGCGAGCAGAGTGCGGGAGCAGAGGTGGGGGAGGGGCGCAGGGGGACGGTGCGGACTTGATGGAGTTGGCGCCGCGTGTGGGCAGCGGGGGTGATGGCGGGGGCAGCGGCGGGGGCAGCAACAAGGGCCTCTGTGAGGCACGAGACGGTGAAGTGATTCACGCAGCACAACGCGATGTTACCGACGCGCGTGAGCTCGTGCTGCAGACGCGCACAGCAGGGACGGCAAGCTCGGCGGAGGGGCAGGGCAAGGGGGAGGAAGGGGCGGGCGAGGTTGAGGAGGCGGGGCGCGGGGCGGGCAGTGGTGGGGATGTGGATGTGGACTGTTTGGAGATGGTATGCGCCATGCTGGGGGCGAGGAAGCGTCTCAAGGCCACTCCCGTGGGGGTGATCGACGGTTCCTGTGCAGCGGGGGAGCGGATGGGCGCACATGCGGCGATGGTGGACGGCATGGCCGATGCTCCTTTCCTGCCCGGCCCTGTCTTCGCCTCGCCGCTCAGCCACCACTCGCGCTTCCCTCCGCACCTTGCACACTCGCTCCCTCACGCTACACCCCCGCCGAGCCTTCAACTGCCGCCTCTCCACCACAGCAGCGCCGCCCTACCCGTGTCTCGTTCCTCCTCCCGCCCTTGTTCGTCCCCATCCGCCCCTCATGTATCTGGACTCGCTGGGACCGTCTCTGCCTCTTTTCCCACCACCGGCACCCCCACTGCCGCCTCTCTCTCCCCGCACTCCCTCCCACACCATTTCCTTGCTCCACACGTGCGCTCCCTCCACTCCCCCGCGCCCCCGCCGCACACACCAGCCGCATCAAGGATTGGTTCAGCAGACGCGGGGTGGGGGGATGGGGGTGTGCGCGAGCAGGCAGCGCTGGTGCCCAAGAAGCGGTCCCTGTCATGGGCAGGCGGGGACGTGAGTGGCGCATGGGGGATGGAGAGCGCGGCAGGCATGGCGCACATGGCAAACATAGCACATGAACCTCTAACGCCCGTGCTCCCCAATGGATCAACGCATAGCGCCTCACCTGCGCTTGCTGCCGCACCACCAGCACTGGCTGCACGAGCTCGCGAGAGGCCTTTCGCTGTGGATGCTGCTGCCGTGGGGATAAAAACGGCTGTGAGTGCTGCGAGCGGTGGTGCGGGTGGGATCAGCAGCGTGAGGAGGTGCGAGGAGGCGAGCGGGGACGGCGATGGCAGCAGCAGGGCGGTGCCGCTGTGGAGTCAGGGGCTGCAGCGCATTGCGTGGTTGCAGCTGCAGCACCGCCTGCTGCTCATGAAGCAGCGGCAGATCGTGCAGCAGGGGCAGGGGCAAGAGGTGCAGGGGGATTCAGCTGATGAGGCAAAGCGGGAAGAGCACTTGGAGGTAACTCGTCAGATTAAGCAGGTGTGGATGGAGCAGCAGCAGCAGCAACAACAACAACAACAACACGCAGCGGGGGTCAGAGCACAGGTGATAGGCAACGCTGGCGCGCTGGGTCTTGCTACTATGTCTGCTGCGATTCCACAGGCGTTCACTCCCTCTGCCGCTCAAGCAAGCCAAAGCGCACATCAAGTGGGACGAAGCGGCGATTGGGAGTCACAGTCACTAGGGGACAGCACAGGGCTGCGTCAGACCATCCCCCACCACAGCACGAGCATCGCTCAGCTGCCGTTTGCAGCAGCAGTGAGGCGTGCCATTCTGAACGCGGCACAGGTGCGCACCCCACATGCAGAGCGTGGCAGAGCAGTGGGCATGCAGCACAGTGCCGCTCCTGTGACTTCTTTGGCAGGCACTGCAGCAGCAGGTGGTACCCATGTGGTCGCGAGTGCTGCTGGCATGGACGCAGCAAGCAGCGGATTGGCGAGGCATGGCGAGAGCCCAGTGCATGTGCCGCGGTTCCCCCCAAAGCCTCTGTGCGTCGTCTCCCCTCGCTTCCCCACGTCCTCCTCGCAGTCCCCTCTGCTCTCCCCTCTCTCATGCACTCCCAGAGGAAGGCCACGCAGCACTGGGTGGGGGCGCAGTGGCGGCGAGGGGAAGGGGAAGGCAGGCAGGCAGGGGCGGTGGGAGATGGAGTGGACAGGCGGGTCGCCTGGGGAAGCAGTAACGCAGCAGGGAAAGGCGGCAGGGGCAGCGAAGCAAGAAGGGATGCAAGGGGGTGCGGAAGGAGAAGGGGAGAGAGGGAGGGCGTGGCGTGGAGCGATGTGGGAGCAGCGGGACGATTCAATGGGCAGCGCTGTGAGTGGTGGGGGGGGAGGAGGAATGGTCGTAGTCTCTGAGGGCAGAGAGGCAGCGTGGCGAGAAAGGTTAAGCTCAGGGGAAGGTGCAGTGGGGACTGTGGCGAGCCCTGGGCACATGGTGTGTGCAAGTGCAGCTGCTCTTCTGAGCAGGCAGAGCAGCTGGGGCTGCAGTGACGCCCGAATGGGTGCCACTGCGGGTGCAAGCTCCTCCTCTCTTAAGGAAGCTCCCTTGTTACCGCGCTCCACCTCTGCAGCTGCTGCGTCCCTGACAGTAGCTTCACCGAGCGGCAGGGCGTTGCCTCGAGTGCGGTCGCTGGCGGCAGGGGGGAGAGCAGCAGAGGCAGTGCGTACGGCAGAGGTAGCAGGGCGATGGGGGGCAGGGGGGCGAGGAGAGAGCGGTGGGGGACTGGTGCCATGGGGCAAGAGCAAGAGCTGGGGCGGTGCTGGGAGGAGCAGAGCGTGGGGCGCAGGCGAGGGGGGTTGCCACTTGCAGGGGAGAGTGGCGGAGGCGAAAGTCAGTCCTGGGGAGGTAAGGAGAGGGGAGTCGGCAGCAGGGGTGGCGTCGGCATCGCAGTCGTCGTTGCCTGCTGCAGCATCGTCTATTGAATCGTGTGGGCTGCTGGCTCAACACATTCGCCGCCAGCAGCAGCGGCAGCAGGAGCAGCAGCAGCAGCGACTACAGGAACACCAGTTGCAGCGGAGACAGCAGGAACAGGTTATGGGTGACATGCAGGGCAAGAGGTGCATGGAGGGAGAGGTGCATGTGCCTGGGAAGTATAGAGCGCTGGGGGACCTTGAAAGGTGTGGCAGTGGGATGGAAGACAAAGGACAGTCGTCAGAGAAATCTATCTTAGAGGTAAGCAAGAGAGGACAAAAGGAAGTGCATGGCAGGAAACAGTGATGCTCCATGTCCTACCATTCCCTCGTTCCGTCGAACTCCCATGGCAACACGTTGACCCCTTCACATCTCTCCTGCTCTGCTACTTTCTTCTTTACTCCCCTCTTCTCCCTCTCCCAATGTCTGCCTGCCCCACCTTCCGCCCGTTTCAGGTGCAGCTGGATGAGCTCATGAGCGAGACGCACAGCAACACCGCGCCCACCAACTCAATCTCACACGCCACAGCGCCTGCCCCGCACCTGCTTTCCTCTGCCGCCATTGCTCTGCTGCTCAGCAATGCCCTCACGCCCCTGCCTCTGCCTGCCGCCGCACCTGCCTCACAGTCCTCCATGCTTGGAGCCACCGTGCCCGCAGCCCAGGGGGGCCGCCCATGACTCGTGTGCTAGCTGGTTCCTCCATGCACAGGGGGTCGTGCAGCAGCAGCAGCAGCAGCATGCTTTACGCTTGGCTGTCAGTGACAGAAGTCTTGATCATGTGTACGAGGTATGCTTTCCTTGAGTGAATGGTGGTCTTCGGTGGGACATGGCAGAACTGGAAACTAGGGTGGCTGGGTGCGTGGTGGCAGCGTGGGCAAGAGCATGGCTGCTACCAAAGCGGTCTACACGAGCCGAAGCAGCGTGTAGCATTCGGTTGTTGTGAGCTGGGCAACATATTTATTTTGTGAGCCATACGCAGGCTGTGCTGGTTCAGAGTGTCACAAGCAAAGGGTTATTGCACAGAGCGGACTTGCATTGTTGCTTCAGAAGCCGTGCTGCTTGAAATATAGCTTCAACCACTGTCACAGAATCTCAGGTCTCGCATGATTTACGCTAAAAACCAGCCAAAATCAGCACAAGAACAACCCATTCTACCACAAATTCTGGGGAAAGGCTGATGATTCTGAAAAATGGTTAAAATTTCAGCCATGGGTCGGAAATAAGCACTGGGAAATTGCCGAATCAGCGTAAAAAGGTTGCAATTTGAGGGCATGGGCCCATGCCATCTTGTGGTGTCAGCGTCAGTATTTCCTTATAATATAAACTTGCCAGAGATTGAAAAGAATGTATGTATGATTTTCACCACATTGAAACGAGTAAGTCCCACCATTTTGTGAAAGCGTCGTATAAGATACCGTATCGAGCCACGTCAAAGCGAGAATCCGCCGAAGGCTTTCAATTTGAGAGACGCTGTCAGACCTTTGGCGCCCAACTTTGGCTCAATCAGCCCACGAGGATGTCAAACCTCAACCTCCACTCCATCAGCCCAACTTCGCCTTGCCGTGCCATGCCCCTTTCAGACAGCTGCCATGGCATTTGCTTGAGCCACGCAAGCCGCACGGCATTACCAAGGCAGTCCTCTCTGGTCGTTCATTGCTCAGAATGCAAACCACTCCACTGCCTGGTGCTTCTCCTCCCAGCTCTAGACCTGCTGGTCTCTATGTTGGCGAAGTCGTCTCTTAGCTTCTGCAACAGTACGGCTACGGTTCGATTAGATTAGACCGATGAGTTGTAGTCATGGAGGATTTGTAGATTTCCATTGAAGTCGAGTACTTGTCTATAGCCTATGGCTTTTGTATTGGTTCTCTCTGTTGCAAGTCCACGGCTCAGCTTTCGCAATAATCAGCTTCCGGTGCGTTGCGACAATGTTAGACATTTAGCTCCTTACAACAAAGGCCCTACTGTCGTCTTCGTTATCATTTAGCGAGAGGTGACTTTCCGAAGAGACGGCCTAACTGCTGCTCGTGGTAACGTAGATTCAGCTAGGCTCAACGGTGATACAGTTCACTCTGAGAATGATTTCTCCCTGATACACCGCCGCACGCTGCAGTATGACGGTTGCGACACCCAGCAAGGCTTCTTTCGCGCAAGGTTCGCGACGGATGCCAACCGTAGCTTTACACCTGGCTGGTCTCTGTTTGCCCTCCAGCGACCTGCGAAACTCTAGAGTGAAGTGACGCAGCGACAAGACGACATGGCGCACCAGCTGACATGTATTTTATCCGCCAATGGCCTCTTAAGTCATGAGAGGCTCGTGCGACGGAAGCGATTGTTCCACCGAGTCTTGGGTTAGCGCTAAGGGATGCATCCTCCAGTCCCAGTGACGGAGTATTGGCTGTGCCGTTTAACCTGGCAGTCTGAAACCAACGTTTCTCAAGATAACCAGCCGGGAACAACACAGCGTTTTCGGAATACGGATCAGCGGCGGAAAGCAGCGTTCGCAGCTCTTCGCAAACGGCAGTAGTAGCGTTCGCCGACCGGCATTGCAAGCAGAGTGACGCAGGTCACGGGACCATGAGGATCTCACACCATGAGGATCGCATGCGTTCGCATCAAGTTCCTCGGCGTTCCTTGCACGCGATGAATGAAACTTTTATGGTACGTAATAGCGAAGGCCGGCGGGGGGAATCATGTAAGCGTCTAGGATAGGAACGCCTAGAGAGTCTCGTCAATTTTCCAGTTCGCGTCATGTGTAAAAATAACCCTTCCACTAACGCGTGTACAGTCCCTCTCCCGCTGTCCTCCTCGTTCTTCCCGCTGCATGGTTGTGATTAAATCGGAGGCTCGGGATTGGAGGCTGCAGTGTCGGACGAATCGTCTGACGTCGTTTCAAGAATCGCCTGACATCGTTTCAATCGGAATTCGCAGAAATTCGCTTGGTGGTCGCAGTCGATTGGGAAAAGACCAACAGTACGTATGAGCGAAGCCTGTGGGGAGGGGAATCACGTAGTCGTCTAGTCTAGGAACGCCTAGCGAGTCGCGTCGCTTTCCTTCTTTGCGTCATGTGTGAAATTCCCCGCCCACTAACGCATGTACCCTACCTCTCCCCCTGTCCGCTCGTTCTCTCCTCTGCATGCACGCGTGTGTATGCGGGTGCGGGTGTGTGCCTCATGGCCTACAAGCATGCGCGTGAGTGGCCTGCGAGTGTGTGATGCATCTGTGTGCACCGTCAGTGTATTTCACGCGGTGGCGGTCGTGACGAGAGCAACGACTACAGCAGCAGCAGCAGCAGCAGCAGCAGCAGCAGGAGCAGCCAAGCAACCTGGCTGGAGCAGAACAGGGGCTCGCAGGAGCGGCAGAGCGGCGGACAGGGGGTGCTTGCAGGGAGGAGGGGAGTGAGTTGTAGAGCGTCGCCGCGCAGAGGCAACAGTCGTGTCTCTTGCTTTTACCTCCGCCCCTCGCATCGTGCTGTTTCTAACCCTCCCTTGTTGGTGCCGCTTGTGTGTGCGTGTCTCTCTCCCCAACCTTTGGGTGCCTCACGGCCTGCGAGCATGGGCAGCCAGAGCAACGGAGCAACCTGGAGCAACTTGGAGCAGCAGGCGTGAAGGGAAGGCGTGGTGCAGGAGTGGCAGAGCAGCGGACAGAGTGTGGTACGCGCCAGGGGGTGCTTGCAGGAGGGAGGGAAGTGAGTCGTAGGGCGTCGCCGCGCAGAGGCAAGAGTCGTGTCTCTTGCTTTTACCTCCGCCACTCGCCTCGTGCTGGTTCTAACCCTCCCTTGTTGGTGCCGCTTCCATGTGCGTGTCTCTCTCCCCATGTGTGTGTGTGCCTCACGGCCTGCAAGCATGGGAAGCCGGAGCAACGGAGCAACCTGGAGCAACTTGGAGCAGCAGGCGTGAAGGGAAGGCGTGGTGCGGGAGTGGCAGAGCAGCGGACAGAGTGTGGTACGCGCCAGGGGGTGCTTGCAAAGGGGAGGGAAGTGAGTCGTCGAGCGTCGCCGCGCAGAGGCAAGAGTCGTGTCTCTTGCTTTTACCTCTGCCACTCGCCTCGTGCTGTTTCTAACCCTCCCTTGTTAGTGCTGCTTGTGTGTGCGTGTCTCTCTCCCCGTGCGTGTGGTGCCTCACGGCCTGCGAGCATGGGCAGACGGAGCAACGGAGCAACCTGCAGCAACTTGGAGGAGCAGGCGTGAAGGGAAGGCGTGGTGCAGGAGTGGCAGAGCAGCGGACAGAGGGCCTGCATCAACTCAGGGGTCACCAGTGCCTGCATCAGCGGCTGGATGATGGTAAGCACACAACGATTTGTGAACCGATCAGCTAGTATACCATTTTTCCATCAAACGTGCTTTCTCTTGTTCGATTTTCCACAGTGCCTTGTGGTGTGTCACCGCATGTTAATGACACTCTGTTCACCTCCCAAACTCCTCCCTTCCTGTCCTCTCTTCTTCTCTGCTCTCCTCTCTTCCATTCCGCCTATCCAGCACCAGTAGCACGGGCACCAGTGGTGGTAGCAGCAGCAGCTGCAGTGGTGGCAGGGTAGTTGCAGCATCATCAACCACTGCAATTCTTGCGGGTGCAGCAATGAACGGGTGATTACAGCTTTCCCTAGCGCGTCCCAGCTCCCTCAAGTGTTGCCTGGTTCTTGTCTAGTGGTTTGATGTCCTTCTCTTCTCCTTTACTCCTTGCGTTGCTCGTCCTCCGCCTTTTCTGTGGCCTATTGTTACGGTGCCCTGATCTCCCTCCCCTCTCCATGTCCCATTGCTGTCCCTGCCAGCAACTGCGGGGAAAGCAGTGGCAGCAACAGCTGGTAGGTGTGAGGGGAGTTGCTGGCCATGCTTGCTTACAGTTTATCACCATCAGTCTGACATGAGAACAACGCACAAATAATCTTGTTGCTTCTATTCAGCTTCACTTGTGTGCTGGTTTGCGCTATTGCCACTTGTAAATGACTCCCTGCTCTCTTTCCTCCCCTTTCTGTCATGTCCCATTGTTGTCCCATTGGCTGGCTCTTCCGTGGTGGAGTGCAGGGCAAGGAAGAGGAGGACTTGTGAAGCGCCTCATGGCAGTGGCCCACCAGAATCTCAAGATGCGCCTCTGTGCTTGTTTACACATGCGTAGCTGTCAAGATGCGCAGCTTAAATGTTGCTTGGGTGTGCTGGGCTGGGTTGTGCGTGGATATGGTAGAATGGTTGGTGGGTGGGGTGGGCATTGGATATCCTGGAAAGCGGCTGGGGCACAAACAACCAAGCAGGGCAATGAGTGTCCTCCTGCAGGTGCTGTGCCGCAACATGATGACTCGTGCCGTGCAGTGGCATGAGGAATACCGTACTTGGCTGCTACGGGCCAAGCCCTCGTCCACGGCGCTGAGAGAGTGATGAGAGGCACACACACAGTGATGGGGAGGAAGTGGAGGTGCAGGACAAACGATTGCAGGACACGAGTTAGGCATCCAGATGGGGATGGCAGGGACTGACAAGAAACAGGGATTGCTTTCATTTCATGCAGCACAGGAATGGTCAGGACTCAGGAAGTTACTAAGCAACACCTCTTAGTAAAATAATGCAGCCGCTGTGACAAGGGCAGTAGCCGCAGGTAGCGTTGCCACCAGGTACTGGGCGCAAGAGCGTGTAATGGACGCTACCCAATTTGTCAGCTGCAGTATCGCCACATCCTCCCTGACATGGATGCTGTCTTCTGCTGTGGCCGCATGCCATGTCCAGCAGCTGCGGCCAAGATGAACTGCAACTTCTAACGGTATAAGCCATCAAGGGATGTCATTAGTAGCACCATGTGCAGAGCAGTAGAGGAGCAGAGAAGCACAAGACTCCACTCTCGTAGAGTTCTCTTGCTTTTATGGCTCACACCCTTTCTCTCACCCCCTTATCACTCTGCGCTGCTCATGATTGCCCCTGTCTTTCCCTTCGTCATCATTTTTACGGTATCAGCAGTTGTGTGGACCTGGAAGCAAGCAGCGAGCGGCATGAGCAGAACAACACTGGGGGCATTGCAGGTTCAGTGTCTGCAGCAGCTGTTACCTGCACAAGTTGGCCGTAACAAAATTATTAAAATGACAGCAAAAAGGCAGCGAGAAAGAGAGTTCACTTCTCGTATCACCCGCTTCCTCCTCTAACCGCCCTACTGCACCCACTAATTTCCTCTTCTCCCTTCTCCTCAGCGTCCCCCCTCTCCTCCTCTCCTCCACTCCCCACTCTTCCCACCTATCTTCTCCTCCAGCCTCACCCATTCAATCTCAATGCCCTTGCTCACCCCCTTGCACATGTCATAAACAGTTAGTGCCGCCACTGCAGCAGCAGTCAATGCTTCCATCTCCACCCCAGTCCCAGCCACCGTACTCGCCTCTGCTCTCACTGCCACCGCACACCGATCATGGTCCAAACTCAGGGTCACACCCACGTTCGATATAGGCACATTGTGGCACAGGGGGATGAGCGCGCTGGTGGCTTTTGCACCGTTGATTCCCGCGATCTGAGCCACTGTGAGGACGTCTCCCTTGGAGAGCTGATTGGAGGCGACTAGGGGGAAGGCGTGCGGGCCGAGGAGGATGCGAGCAGAGGCCACGGCTCGCCGGAGGGTGGGTGGCTTGTGTGACACGTCAACCATGGTGGCTTTCCCGGAAGCATCCACGTGAGTCAGGCGGGAGGTAGATGCTGCTGATGGTGGTGGTGGTGGTGGTGGTGATCCTGATGCTGATGTGTCATTGGTGCTTGATGTAGTAGTGGCTGCCATGAATGCACGTTGAGTGTTATTCACTGTATTGTGCCGTGTTTCCGTGTGGCGTGGGGAGGATTGGTAATGGGGAGTGGTTGAATCGGAGGAGGAGGGAATTGGGTTGAGTGAGGATGAAGGGCGAGATAACGTTGACTGTGACGCTGACGGGAAACTCGGTTGTGGTGGTGACGGAGAATGGGGGGGTGAGGGAGGGAACTGCGAGGGCGAGTGGGAGGGCAGAGGGTCGTCGGACGGCAGCATTCCGAAAATGGCTTCCATCTCCTGCTCGCGCGGTCCACGTTGGCGTGGTAGGGAGGGTAGATATGGCAGGGAGGGCAGAGAATGGTGGGCGCACGGGTGAAAATTGGGGATAGATGGCGGGATGAGTGAGCGGGAAAGCCGGAGAGCGTGACACGGAGGGGAGAGCGGCTAAACGAGTCACTCAACTAGAGCGTCGCCAGCTTTCTCAGCTGTTCAGCTGTTCACTTCATCACCTCATAATCCGTATCGGGTCTCGAGCCGCAAAGACCTGGAATGAAAAAGGGTAGTTTAAAGTTTACAATTTAGTGGTTGCGTAGACCAAAGTTAGACGGCAGGATAGAGGCACCGCAGCTGCTAAGAGCTTCCGACCTGGTTAAATTCGTCCACATCGGAGGTCGTCGCACCGCTGCCAGCTGCTGTTCGCAGGGATCTTATGCGTCGCCATTGCAACGTTGCAGCCGCCTCCTGCGACGCCGCCGCGCGACACACGACGTGTGCGACTCTGCGAAACATGTCGCAGAGGGAGATCGGACGCCTGACGAGAGTTGAATGGAGTTTGGGGAGAGATAGCTTCGCAACAGAAGGATCCAACCCAGAGCAAAACACAAGGTTTGTACGCGTTGCAAACATGTAATCGGTGTAGCAAATTTGTTCAGCGGTAAACTGATCATATCGACCTTGGTTTCCCCAAAAAAGTCACTCTCTGATCGGCGAGGCATATAAATTTCCGTGCTGTTGTTAGAAGGAACTACTCTATTCCAGCCGAGCCGTGGAGTTAGCAGGCGATAACGAAGCGATGCCAGGCAATAGCGAAGTATCAAGCAGCGTGCGATGCTAAACGATAACGACGAATGATGCTAGACGATAGCGACGTGTGATGCTATAGGGATGGAGATCGGCAACCAATCGACAGCGCAGGCAGGGGTACAACCTCCTCACGCGAACAATGCCCTTGTAGATTCCTTGTCTGCGGCTCCTCAACCCTCGAAGAATACGCGCCATAAGGCGAAGCTCGCTCCGTCGTTATCGACGGTGTATGCGGGAAACCTGGACTACTCGCTTACCAACAACGATCTGCACACGCTGTTCGGTGTATTCGGACAGATCGCTAAGTGAGTGTGTGAGAGAGTTCGAGTGATTGAGGAGCGAGTGTGGAGTGAGTGAGTGGGTGAGTGAGAGTACTTAAGTAAGCGCAGAAAGGCCGTGTGTGGTGGGTGAGGGTGGATAAGGACGTGACTAAGACGGGCGAATCAAAGCGCGAGGAGTGAGAGTGGAAGGATGGACATTCCAGAGTGTGGTGTTCCTCATGATGGTTTGATTTCAGAGGGCCTTAATCGTGCTCCCTTGCGTGTGCTTGTTGGCAGGGTGACGGTAATGAAGGACAAGGAGACTCGCGAGAGCAAGGGGGTGGCGTTTGTGCTCTATGTGCATAAAGAAGACGCTCTTAAAGCGGTAAGACACTTATGTCGTTTACGTTTTAGGCGGCTTTCAAAAGGGTTCGTTCTGCCATTGATGGTATTGTAATACGTTAGTAACATGGTATAGCTGTGTGGATGGGTGCGTTTCTGCATTTTTCACGACTGCATGTGTGCATGCGTGCATGGCAGGGCAGGTTGCAGTGATGCAAGGGAAGCGTCTGAACGGCCGAATGCTCCAAGTCAGCATCGCCAGCGACAACGGCCGGGCTGCTGAGTTCATTCGACGCAAGGTGAGTTCGCACAACCCAAAGCGCGATGGTGCATTGCTCCGATTGACTACTGTTTTTTTGTTCCAATTCTGATTCCCTTCTATGGTGTGACAACTTTTGAGGTTTTTGAGGCAGTAAGTCCCCTCTCTTTCCCCGGTTGCTGTCTTGTCTCCCCCAGGAGTACAAGGACAAGAGCCGCTGCTACGAGTGCGGGGATGCAGGCCACCTGTCATACGAATGCCCCAAGAACCAGGTGAGGGTTGCTCTGTCATCTGGGGGTTGCTCTGATGCTGTGCGGCACTGGTGCATCTACTGCAGCAGTGACGGTACAGGAACAGTGAATACAGTAAGCTGGTGGTTTTGTAACTCATTCATCTCGTACCTCATCCTCTCCATGCCTCATATTCACCCCCTCATGCATATCTCTCCTCCTCCCTCCATCAGCTAGGCCCACGGGAGAGGCCCACTCCAAAGCGCAAGCGCAAGAGCGGTGAAAGCAGTGAGGGGAGAGGAAGGGGGAGAGGAGGGGGAAGAGAAGGAGGAAGAGACGGGGGGAGAGAAGCAGGGAGCATGAGGAGGAGGGGAGCAGTTACGGGTGCATGTGGGAATGGAGGAGGGGAGGCGGAAGGGGGAGAGAATGAAGAGGAGGAGGAGGAGGAGGATGAAGTGGAGGAGTTTGATGATGATGATTGGGCGTCTGCTGTGGCTCCCAGGTACCGCTGTGCTCTGGCCTCACCACTTGGTACCCCTAACCCCCACTGCAGTACTGTTACACTATAATACTGTTAACTGCCCTCACATTCAGTCACCCTTTATTCTTCTCAACCCTGACTCACCTTCAACCACCCACTCTCACCCCTTCCGCGCATCTCGCCCGCTCGCTTAACCCTGCTTGCTTCGCACATCCCGCTGTGCAGACAATGCCTGCAAACAGAGAGTTGTCAGTCAACGAATAGTCCTCCAGGTTGCTCACATACTCGTCACAAAGTTTGCTTAGAGCTCTCCCGTCACACACCCAGCCACAGAATCCACACATAGTGCCAGCAGTGCCAGCAGTGCAAGCACTGTCAGCAGTGCACACAAACTCATGCATTGATTGGTCCAGTTTGTCAACATACCCTTCACTCGTTCGCTCGCCTCTCTCATCTCCACCCGGGTGCAGGCAGAGCCTTCAAACGGTTGAAGCATCAATGGGAGCACAGCACAGCTCAAAGCTGTCGCTCAAGGTGTGATGCACGGTCGTCTCGCGGTGTGTGTACATCTGTTACATCTGTCATCTTGCAATTTGTGATGCGAGTCATCTGGTCTAGCATGGCATGGGTTGTAACTCGTACCATGACGTGCGGTGTGGTGCGTGCTCTGCATGTTGTGCTGTGCAGGGCCCAAAGAAGCATGGAGGCTACTTCAGCGATGAGAGTGGTGACGAAGATGATTAACTTGGGGTGACAGGGATTGAGAGGAAGACAATGATGGTTGATGCCTGACTGACATGTAGCATTTTCAAGCTGGCTGTGTAGCGGGCCATGTGCTATCGTTTCATGGCTTGGTTAGCTGCCACAATATCGGATTGACTTCAAGCACTTTCTTCAAGCAATGGAGGAACACTTAGGGCGTGTGCATGTAATACCGTAGCTGCTACCAGGGCCTCAGATTCGTTTTAGGGTACCCTGAGCACTCAGGGTCCCTTGGAGGTGTAACACTGATCTTCCGTGTTGCCTGCTTAGAAACACTGATTTTTCAGGGCTACCGGTAGTAAGAAAAAAACACTGATCACACAGGGTGCCTTTTCAAAAAACACTGATAGAATAATTAAAGAAGGGGTGCAGGCCCGGTCGTGATGTGGAGAGCATGAATGAACGAGACCCCCTGCGGCATGGGTCGGCTGGTCGAACCGCACAACCACGCCCTTGCGTGGTGAATCTGATCTGATGCCACCATTCACCACTGGTCCACTCTGGATTTGTGCGCAGCGAGGCCAAGAATAACAAGTGTTGGCAGAAGTCAGAGTCAACGAAGCATTGAAACACCTGGAACAGCCAATCAAACAGCGCCTTTGCGCCAACACTGGCCAAAATTGAGCCGCAGGGTGGCGTCGATCCTCGTTGGGTTGGGTACATGAATGATGACGGCGCGCCAATATGCGAGAAACACGGAGTTTCGGTTCCAGGGTCAACCCGGATACAACACTGACTCGTCAGTGTCTGCAAACACAAAACACTGAAAATTCAGTGTTTTACAAAATAAAACACTGATCCATCAGGGTCGCTAAAAAAAAAAGGCTGATCCATCAGGGTCGCAATAAAAAACAAGGGTCAAACTTCAGGAATTCAGGGTAAAATTCCTGACATCTGAGGCCCTGGCTGCTACATGTATTCCCTTTACCTGTTGACTTGTTGGATCCCAACATGTATGTTTAGACTAGTGGAATGGTTGTGCTTGTTTGGTGGCGTGCATCATTATTTGTGGATGCCACCATTCCTACGTTATGTACAAACCATCATATTGCATACATACTGCATTCAAGGCTACTCTTTGTTTCATCTCCTGGCAAGCGGATATGTACTTAGTTTTCAGTGTCTAGAGAAATCCCTCATCACGTGTGCTGATAACCTTTTGGGCCCAAGAATAGGGTACATTATTCCATCTTATCTCACATAATGTTTTTAGACTTCTGGAAAAATCTGTCGGTTCGACCCCTCGGTCGGCTGGCATGATAGTTGACTTCGGCGCGGCCTAGGAAGACTGTAGTCAATCTAGGTCTGTCCAGCGTCCACCTCTATTGCCCCACCGTCCCGTCAAACCATCGCAAACCTGCCTTCTCATTGTGCCACGTTGGCCTTCGACCCGAAAGTAGTCGTCAGTAACACGGACGTTACAAAATTCGACAGCATTTTTGGAAGAAACCGTCATTCTCTTGGCCAACTGGCCCACGCCAACCTCAAATTCGCCATCCCGACGCGCATGACAGCAAAATCGAGGCGCGATATTTCACCCTTTCATTTCATTGGTGGCTGATGCGGGTTTGGACGAAAACTCCTCTACTCCCCTCCGAACAACGGCCCAAATTCGCCTACCTTCTTCATCAGCACGAGCAAGCAGCCCCCCCGTCAACGTTTCTTGCTTGCAACATCTGCAACACAGTGCAATACAGCCTTGAAATGGCGGCAGATCCACCTGCACTTGGCTGATCTGCAAGCTAACGTGGATCTCCTGTCACTCGAGCGATGTGACCTTCGTCTCTAGCCTCCGAAGTTCCAGGTGCTCTGCTTGGCAGTCTTCGCAAGTCTCGGTTTCGCATCCCCCCTCCTCCTGTGGTACTCCCTCCGAAGCTCACCCCTGCCGCCACTCCTACACACCAACTCTCATGCTCTCGTTTTTGCAAGTCGTGATTCGAGAATCATAATCTAGGCCATCGCTCTCACGCACCGCCCCTCGACGGTCGGTGACCACTCGCTCTTCCTGTCGCCACCCCAACTCGCCGTGGGTCTCGAAAGCGGATTTAATAGCAGCGCCCTCTGGTTCCCCTTGTCCCGCAGCGCACGCACCTGAGGTTATCGTAGGACGTGCTATTTAGCAAGAGTGATGCTATTTGAGAGTATAAGGTCGCAGGTAGTAGTTCTAGAGAGACATTCAGCCCACTTGCCGTGTTGCATTGAACTGTTTCTAGAATTGCGTCGTAGTAACCGTTAGGCTTTCTCAGCCGCCACACTGCCGATTGAGAAAGCGCAAATAACTTTCACATAGCGTCGCAAGTACCAGAGCAATATCAGTTTTCATGGATGGTATGAGTTTCGACTTTTTGTCACAAGAGGAGGACGATTTCTTGTTCCAACTCGCGGTGACAGGGTCAGAAACCCATGATATGCTAGCAGAACCAGTAGTAGAATTTGAGAAAAGTGCCAGCGAACAGGGTATTAAAGATGATGATGGCGCGCCGGTCGATGCTTCCGAGACTGATCTTGGAGACGAACAGCGCGCTAACGACGAACTTAAAGCCCTCCTGGACGCCACGAGCGCCACGGCGAGCGCTTTAATCAGTACCCGCGACGCGAAGGAAAGTCAAGTAGGTTCTGTTTCGCCAGGCGGCGGTATGGCCGGGTTGGGGATAGCGTTAAGCGGAACTCTTAGCGACCCGCAGTTGGCGCTGCAGCAGTTCCAGTGGCTGGAACGAGCGTCGTGCGCTCTCACCAAGTTCCTTCCTCTTCTAGCTACGAGCATACGGGACGGCGCTACTGCTAACAGCGCTGCGAGCACCAGCACCAAGGCGCTTCAGAAGACCGTCGCGGAGCAGGCAGCAGCAACTGCCGGCTCGCCGGGTTTCGTTGCACAGATGCTTTCTGCCATGTCGGAGCCGCAAGGCGCCGTGGACGGAGCAGACGCGTCGGACGAGCCCGCGTCGCAGCAGCAGCAGCAGCAGCAGCAGCGGAAGATTGCTGAAGAGGAGGAGGACGCGGCAGCGCTGTTCCAGAGCCTGCAGCGCGACATTGGCATGGCGCCAGGCGATGAGGGCAGCGACTCCACCGTGCTACAGCCTCTACAGCCGTTGTCGCAATCGCTGCCACCAGGTCACGTTCTTGACATAGCTATTCCGGAAGGAGCGCCACCAGTGGAGTCTGTCTACGCAGGGGACAATTGCATCAGCGCTGCACCAGTGGAACTTGGTGCTGCTGCTTCAACGGATGCAGCATATGCGTTCCCCATCGGCTCTGCTACTTCCGTGGTCGACAAAGATAATCTCAATGCGCCAAGGCCTCTCTCGTTCCACCAGGACATGGCTGGTCACAACAGCATGTGCATGGATAAGGGACCTGGGATCCCTGCTGCTGCGCTGCTCGACAGCGTGCCATACGCAATGCTCGCCGGAAACTCGGGATCCCTGCTTGGGTCTGCTATCCAGAATTTCACTGTCCCGTACCTGGTGCTGGAACACTCTCAGCCTAAGCTCCCCCATGTGACGTCTACTGCAGTGGCGACGTCGCTGCTTGCACACCTGGCTGGGTCCCATCCGTCCAGCCCCGCATCAGAGACCTCTTCTGCGCCTGTTGTCGAACCTGCTGCCTTGCTTCCTCGCTACAAAGGACCCCACTATAAGGGAGTTCGCCAGAGAAGGTGGGGACGCTGGGTTGCTGAGATTCGCGAGCCACGCAGGCGTAGCCGCATTTGGTTGGGTAGCTATGATGAGCCTGAGGATGCAGCCCGAGCATATGACACGGCTGCTCGACTCTTGAGGGGCAAAAAGGCCCGACTTAACTTCCCTGCAAGCAACGCTTCTGCACCACTTCCACATGCTGCCGCAGAAGCGGTGCTCCGCGCTTTGAGGAGGATGCAAGAGACGCAGGAAACGCCCAGTGAGTTAATGCTCAAATATAAGCATATAAAATGACGAGACCTGTCTGCTGGAACTGCACTGCCATGGGGTAGTGGACTTTGGCGTGTTTGTATGAAGGTAGGGAGTCTGAGTGTCCTAAACTCCATGCCAGTGCAGTGCAGCTTTTAATTGCTCTTTTGTTTGAGTTTGTGCTAAAAGGTTTGTATTTTGCTCGTTTAACCAGATTCTAACTGTATCACGCTTCCCATAACTTGAGTGATATGTCCACCATATGAGCATCCGGAAGAAGGGAGAACAGTCGTGTGATAAGGCGATTTGCTAGCTGTAAGGGCTTCCAGCTCGTTGAGAAAGGTTCGCAATTATTGTCGTCATCTGTGAGGACATGCTCATTGCCGTTCAGAAAGACAGGAGCAGGTGAAAAGGTACCAGTCGTCAAGCTGGCATTGGTCACATCCCCCAACACCCTCATATTCCATTCGGGCACATTCTCATAATCAATCAAGTCGACGATATTCACCAGATTTTAAGTTCCAGACTCGACCAGCTGTCCTGAAAAGTTCGTACCCCACGTGGTTGTCGTTGGCGCCGTTTGGACGCTCAACCAGTGGGATCGGAACTGGAAATGCATGCATTTATAACTTCTCCACCTGCCCACAGCCCCACTGCGCCAGTGATCCACCCACAGACCGTACAGTACTTGATCTACGCATCCCCCTCATTTCTCTCGGGATCAGGCCTGTTGTTTCGTTTTGGGCCCCCCGGACAAATCAGGGGGCCCGGCATGTATGACCCTGTATTTAGCAGGGCTGGGGCGAATCTCGGCCCTTTAGGCTTCAGGGCTAGAAATGTTTCCTCCCTTGAATCAGGGTTGGCGCGAAAAAATCAGGAGCCTCATTTCAACCACCAAGCTTACAACTACGTTTGAGATCAACGTCAAGCAAGCAAACACGACAAGAAGAGAAATAGTTAGCGTCATATCACTACGCACGCTTTGCAGGCTTCCTAGCCTTTGCAGAACCGATGATCGTCTGCACACCTTTACTACCCAACCTTCAGGCTAGTTCTTGTGCACTTCTACCCAACCTTAACCGCACCCACTCTTCAGAGAGCGAGCTGTGATTGGTTTAAGCACAAGTTCTAGGCTGAGTTGAATTTGTGGCCCAACCAAGCAACTCGAAATTGCCTTGTTGGATGCAATCAGGTTAGAAACGAAGGGGAAGGAGAGGGAGGAGTGTTGGGGGGGGAGGGGAGTGGAAGGGGGGTCTCGAGAGATTTTGTTCCAGGGCTCGCCTAAAATCTGCACTTAACACACCAAGCTGAGCCCGAAATCAGCCCTGTAAAGAATCAGGGCCAGAATATCTCCAACCCATCAATTTCAGTTTTCAATGGCAACCCAGCCCTGGAATTCAAGGTCCAGCAGGGCAAACGCCCTGCAAGCGACAGCCCTGCTCGGGATCTCTCTAGCTTCAGAGTCACCAGGTGCGTGCATGCGATTGGTCAGCAGCAGGCCTGTTGTTTCGTTTTGGGCCCCCCGGACAAATCAGGGGGCCCGGCATGTATGACCCTGTATTTAGCAGGGTTTGGGCGAATCTCGGCCCTTTAGGCTTCAGGGCTAGAAATTTTTCCTCCCTTGAATCAGGTTTGGCGCGAAAAAATCGGGAGCCTCATTTCAACTACCAAGCTTACAACTACGTTTGAGATCAACGACAAGCAAGCAAACACGACAAGAAGAGAAATAGTTAGCGTCATATCACTACGCACGCTTTGCAGGCTTCCTAGCCTTTGCAGAACCGATGATCGTCTGCACATCTTTACTACCCAGCCTTCAGGGTAGTTCTTGTGCACTTCTACCCAACCTTAACCGTCACCCACTCCACAGAGAGCGAGCTGTGATTGGTTTAAGCACAAGTTCTAGGCTGAGTTGAATTTGTGGCCCAACCAAGCAACTCGAAATTGCCTTGTTGGATGCAATCAGGTGAGAAACGAAGGGGAAGGAGAGGGAGGAGTGTTGGGGGAGGGAGGGAGTGGAAGGGGGGTCTCGAGAGATTTCGTTCCAGGGCTCGCCTAAAATCTGCCCTTACACACCAAGCCTGAGCCCGAAATCAGCCCTGTAAAGAATCAGGGCCAGAATATTTCCAGCCCATCAATTTCAGTTTTCAAGGGCAACCCAGCCCTGGAATTCAAGGTCCAGCAGGGCAAACGCCCTGCAAGCGACAGCCCTGGTCAGCAGCCGCAAGGAAAACCAGGCGCACCAGTCCGCGTCTCTCTCGAACCGAACATACATATGACACGCGAGTCCGCGTTTCTCCTGGTGTTCTTGACGGAACCTCGGTGTACTGTACATTCCGCCGTACAAAAAAAATATACTGTAGTGAGTCCTGGACTCACGAATCACGATTTACGAACACTGACAGCTGGGTGTTGGAGAGAACTACTGTAGAGCCTGGATTGGTGGTTCGTTCTTACTCGCGTGGTCTTGAATTACTCGAGTGGCCACCAAACTTGGTGATAATTACTCGAGTGGCCACGCCAGGGGATTCTTGCTGGTTTGTTTTACCCAGCGCGTTACCCTAACAGGGTTTGTATCCCCGAAACCTCTATACTGATTAATGCGCGATCTTCAATATCCGAAATTTATGATCGTGACCCCATATGACCGCGCCTGATTGGACGCGTATTGCAAAACAAAGCACCACGCATATAATCGACCAATCATGCGCGGTCATTAAATGTCCCGCGCATTGACGCCCGGGCATTGCAGTTTATGATCGCGGAAATATATGATCGGGCATTAATATATGATGTGCCGGACCATTAATGACCTCGCATGATTGGTCGACTATATGCGCGTTTAATCAGGCGCGGTCATATAGAGTCACGTTCATAAATTTCGAATATATATCATCACGCGAAAACATCCATTTTAAATCATCGCGTAGATTGAAAATCGCGGAATTATCAATACAGCGGTTTCGGGGATACGAGCCCTTGTAGGGTAATGCGCCGGGAAAAAAAAAGCCAGCGGGAATCCCCTGGCGTGGCCACTCGAGTAATTATCACCAAATTTGGTGGCCACTCCGAGTAATTTGAGGCCATGCGAGTAAAGATGAATCAACGATCCAGGTTCTACAGTCATTCTCTCTGGGTGTTGGGTGGTTGATTGAACGCCTCCCATCACAGTAGAGTAGAGCGCGAAGGAAGGAACTTGTCTGCTGCTCTGCTCGTCACCATTCACCAACTGGTGGCATCAAGACGAATTCACTTCACCAAGTCAACGTTGGCCCTGGGCTGGGATATGACTTGCAGGTGAAAATTAGCTGTTCAGATCCTCACGAGATCATCAAGTCCTTTCAAGCGGTCCTTACGTTTAGTTAGCATTTGCCTTTTTTTTTTAGAATCCCGCATGGGCGCCGTACGGCGATACTCCGACTGTCAAGCGGAGGTCGCGCGGAAACTCCTCGCGTCGCTTCCTCCAGCGGAGAGCGCCGTCCCCACCCACCACCGCCGCGTTGCTGGCGCGCTGGATAAACCGCGCGAATGCACGAGCCGTGATTCAAACACCCGGAGCCCCGACATGCAAAGGGCAAGCAACAGGAAGAGCCCGGTCTCGATTAATGAGAGCAGCTGTGACGGCGAGTTAGCATCGGCGAATGGAGTCAACAACAGAAGCATTAGTACCAATAGCAAGCGCATGGGGAGCAGTAGTAAGGTCGGGTCGCGAGATGTGTTCGGCCAAGCCGCGGCCCCGCGAAAGGAGCTCGATCCCGTCAAGGCGCGGCGGCGGTCGAGCAGCGACTGGAGCGACGGAGCGAACCCAGTGGGGATCCTGGACGACATCGGCGATCTGTATGCGACGAATGATGACGACGCTGCAGGTACCGTGCGCGAAAATGCACAGCGTCGTGACTCCCTCCCGCGAGTAACTGGCGACACTACTGCCGCTATTCCCCGCGGGGGCTCGGCGGAACTCCCGGCCCTTACAGCGCAAGCCCCCGCCAGGCCTACCGGCGCCCCGCGACAGGCGGGTGCGACATCTGACGCACGCGCTGGTCGCCGCCGATCGTTCGACGGACAGATTGACCGGCTGAAGAACTCCGCCATTGGGGGCGGAGGCGGCACGGGCGCCGTCGGCTCGCCTGTGTGGGCGGCGGAATGCGGGGATCTGTACGGCAGCGAGGAGGGCGACCACGTGCCGATCACGTGGCATGGCGACGACGAAGATGTGAACGCACCAGCAGGCGGCGATGGATTCACCTCCGCCAGCAGCGTCGAGGCCTTGCAAGCAAAGGCGCGCGCGCCGCCGCCCACTGGTAGGGGCTCCGCGCATGCGAACAGGGCCTCCGCGAGTCGGTCCGCCCCGCGCGCGCAAAGGGGCGCGGTAGAGCAGCAAGAGGCGGCGTGGCTTCCGCCTCGCGCGGCGAAAAAGCCGCCGCGTTTGGAGGACGAGGATGAGGACGGCGCAGGGAGCGACAGCGGCGGTAGCGGTGGCGGCGGCATGGTGGTTCGGCGTCATACCGTGGGCGTGGACGGCCGGGAGAGGCGGGCTGCGAGTACGGGCAGGGCGAGAACGGCGCGGAGCGGAATCGGCATGCTGGATGACGTGGCGTTGAGGAATAACGCGCAATCGACGTCGCGGAATGCGGGTGTTGTGGCGGCGATGGTTGCCGGGGAGGAGGAAGGGGAGGACGACGGGGAGGAGGGGGAATGGAGCAGTCCCGAGCGCACTCTGCGCCGATCGACCACTGTTGACAGCGCGGCGCGCCGTCGCCCCGCGGGGGGCTGGAAAGGGAAAGGCGGAAAGAAACCGCCCGCGCCGGAATCCGGCGGGTCCCCGTCCTTCGGAAGTGTGCGTGCGGGGGCTGCGCACGCGCGGACGGGCTCCGCGGGGAGCGTGGGGCACGGAGGCAGTTTGGACTGGGATGTGGAAGACCAGCGCGCACCGCCGCCGCAGGCGCAGGCGCAACGTCTATGGGCGGAAGGGGGAGAGGGAGATCAGCAGTGGATGCAGCGGCAGCCTCCGCAATGCATCAAGGCGGCGCTGCGCGCACGGGTGGTCGGGCGTCTCGGCGGAAATTCCGCAAGCAGCGCAAGCGGCGCTGTCGGCGCCGCTTGTGGAAGGCCGTTTTTACCCGCGGGCGGTGCGCTACCTCCCCATGTTCCGCCGAACTGGGCGGCGGGTCCATATCCCCCTTCCGCCTCCGCCACCACTAGCTTCATCCCCCCCCACCTTCTGCCATCCTGCCCCTCCGCGAACTCCGCCCGCTCGATTTCCGCTCCGCCCGCCCGCCCATTCGCTCCGCCCGCTGCCCCGGGTCCGGGGGTGCAAGCGGAGGAGGACGCGCAGCAGCTTCCGCCGCCCCCGCGCCTACTGCGCACGCTCTCGTCGCTCTCCTCCTCCTCCGCGCGCTCCTCCTGCTCCCACGTTTCCACCAGCTCCGCCCCCGCCGGGCCTGTTGCGCTGTCCGCCCTCCGCGCGCGCGCGGAGGCTGCGGGGAGCAAGCAGAGGCGGGGAGCGGGCGCGGGGAGACCAGCGGGTGGAGCGGGGGAGGGGGCAAAGGAGAGCAGCGGGAGGGGGAAGCCCGGGCCAGGGTCAACACGGGGTAAGGTGTCGGAGAGAGTAGCAGTTGGGAATGGTGTGCAACGAGTGTACTTAAACTGATATACTAATAAGGGGAATGCTCCAGGTTTCACAGAGTAATCGGTGGGACAGTAAAGAGGATGATGTTGGATGGTGCAAGAATGGTGGTGCAGGCAAGGATGATAATACGGGCGAGGGCTTTGGTGATGGTGCGGACATGGTGATGGTGCAGGCACTGGTGCTGGCAAGTGAGCAAGATTTTGCAGTGCCTGGATCGGATTGGATTTTATCTGCACCAGTGCAGTGTGTTACAAGTGCTCTCTGACTCTGCAAGTCGTTCCTCAGGATGTGCAGAACGCATGTGCAAGAAACATGCTGCAGAGCAGAAGCAAGGCTTAATGGCCATGCCGAGAGAAAGCATGCCAACTGTTTTCAAGCTTACACTGAAGTTTGAACTAAACCTTTCTCTCCCTGCGCCTTCCCTTCCTACTTTCCCTGATAACATACTCTCCCATGCCACATAACCCCCTCGCTTTAACCATATATTCTGCTTCTCCCTCTCCCTCATGCCTACATCCTCCTCCCACTCTTCCCCTCCCCCAGTCCACTCCGTTCTTTCTGCAAGATGTGTTTGTGGTTCTATGCAATGTGTGTTTCTTTTCAAGGTCTATCCTGTACGCCTGCATTGCTATACTATGGTGTGTGGAGTGCATGGTCTGGGATGGAGGTATGCTGCTCTAGGTCCCCTCTTTCCTTCCCTGACTTGTGCGCTCCACTCCAGGGATGTTCTTCCACATCATCATAACCTTTCTGCTATTTGACCCCGCTCTTCATTGTTGTACCATAAAGCGCTTACCGTATTGTAATATCTAACTATACAAGATTGGACTCTTGGCTGATGGTTATTGCATCTTGGCCTGGACATAGCATGCTGCAACAGCAAAAGACAGCATCCCTGTCAGGGAGGTCTCTTCTGTGCAATCTCTCTTTACTCTCGACAGATACTGCAACTGACAGATTGGGTAGTGCCCAGTACGGTACATTATCTACATGCTCTTGTCCCGCGGCACCTGTTAGCAGCGCTACCTGAGGTTACCGCCCTTGTCACAGCGGCTGCATTATGTTATGAGGTGATTGTATTGTCCGGTACCCAGTCCTGACCACTCATGTACGGTACTGCATGACATGAGAGCAACCGTGTGACCTGCCTTATTGGTGGCTGGCCCTGAATGTGCATGCACCTCATGGTTGGATGTCGTGCACTACACTTCCCCCCCGTCACTGTGTGTGTGCCTCTCATCTCATCTCATGGCAGCTCCACCTCACTCTCTCACTAAGCGCCGTAAAACGAGGGCTTGGCCTGCAGCAGCCAAGTCCTCCTCATGCCACTGCACAGCACGAGTCATCATGTCGCAGCACAGCACCTGCAAGAGGGCACTCACTGCCCTGCTTGGGTGTTTGTGCCAAGTAGCCTTCCAGGATTTCCAATGCCCACCCCACCAACCTACCATTCTACCGTATCCACACACAACCCAGCACAGCACAGCACAACACAGCACACCTAAGCAAAATTTGAGCTAAGAATCTTGACAGCTACGCATGTGTAATTAACCACAGCGGCGCATCTTGAGATTCTGGTGGGCCACTGCCATGAGGCGCTTCACAAGTCCTCCTCTTCCTTGCCCTGCACTCCACCACGGAAGAGCCAGCCAATGGGACAACAATGGGACATGGCAGAAAGGGGAGGAAAGAGAGCAGCGAGTCATTTACAAGTGGCAATAGCGCAAACCAGCACACAAGTGAAGCTGAAAATAAGCAACAAGATTAATTGTGCGTTGTCCTCATGTCAGACTGATGGTGATAAACTGTAAGTAAGCATGGCCAGCAACTTGTCAAATGTTGTAGCCTGTAGTGAGGTTTGTCTTAGGGGGTACAGAAGTTAGGGTTTGTTATATGTACCCCAACCAACATCAATGGCATCATCATTCCTCATTTTGACATGGTATCAGCTAGGTTAGGATCCTGTGGGATCCCGTTCCTCCGTTCTCCGTTCGTCCCTCCCGAGCCTGATCCTACCTCTCGTTCGTACCGGTTCCGTTGTTACCGCGCCTAGTACCGAGCCTAGCGCCCTCTCCCCCGTCGATTAGCGCCCTTTCTCCCCGTCGCCTAGCGCGCTTCCCCCCCCCCCCCCCCCCCCCCCCCCGTCGCGTCGCGCCCTTTCCCCCCGTCGCCTAGCGCTCTTTCCCCCCATCGCGTCGCGCCCGTTCCCCCCGTCACGTCGTGCCCGCCCTTTCCCCCCCGTCCCGTCGCCCTGTCCCGTCGCGTCGCCCTGCCCCGTCCCGTCGCCCTGCCCCGTCGCGTCGCCCTGCCCCGTCCCGTCACCCTGCCCCGTCGCGTCGCCCTGCCCCGTCGCGTCGCCCTGCCCCGTCCCGTCACCCTGCCCCATCGCGCCGCCCTGCCCCGTCGCGTCGCCCTGTCCCGTCCCTACGCCCTGGCCCGTCGCCCTACCCTACGCCCTGGCCCGTCGCCCTACCCTACGCCCTGGCCCGTCGCCCTACCCTACGCCCTGGCCCGTCGCCCTACCCTACGCACTGGCCCGTCGCCCTACCCTACGCCCTGGCCCGTCGCCCTACCCTACGCCCTGGCCCGTCGCCCTACCCTACGCCCTGGCCCGTCGCCCTACCCTACGCCCTGGCCCGTCGCCCTACCCTACGCCCTAGCCCGTCGCCCTACCCTACGCCCTAGCCCGTCGCCCTAGCCCGCTCTTCCGCTGCGACTGAGTCCCCTTCCCACCTGAACCCTAATTTGCCTCTTCTCCCCGGTTGTTACTCGCCTGTTCGTTCGCGTTAGTTCTCACTATGGCGACTCCGCGAGTTCTTCGTTTCGACGCTGACGGTAGACCACTTGACTTTTCCGTCTGGCTTCTTCGCGCTCGCCGTCTGTTAGAGAGTCAGGTCCAGGGGGGCGAGACCCTCTGGTCGCACGCTACTGGTGACCTCCCCGAGCCCCCCGAGCCTACAGCTTTAGGCTCTGCCCCTGACGACGCTGCTACGGCTCGCTTTGCCCGTCAGCGCGCTGACCGAACGGCTTGGACGTCGCGTGACGCTGCGGCCTGCATCGCACTCAGCAGCCTCCTCCCTGAGTCAGAGGAGGTCCACTTTACTCAGGTTCGCACCGCTGCTGCGTACCTCACTGCGATTAAGGCCCGCTACTCTACTCCCGCTACTGTCTCTCTTGGCCGTCTTTTCCTCCCGTTCCTGTTTCCTGATCTCGCCTCGTTTGAGCGCTCTGCTGACTTGATCGCTCACCTTGTCAGATTATTATAGCTGATGCATGTTTGTAGGCTGTAGTGGGGTAGCACATATGGGGTACAGTTTGCTAGGGTTGTATTTGTACCCAACTCTGACTTAGTCAATTCATTCCTGTTCATTCCTTTCACATGGTATAGAGCGGGTTCCCTGTGGGAACTTCGCCTAGGGCCCACCGAAGCGCGCCCCGAGGCGCGCGATCCTTTTTTTTAGCGACCCCCCCGAGTCGCCCTTCCCCTGCGGCCCCGCCGCCCTTCGTTCGCGGCCCCGCCGTCCAGTCGCGGCCCCGCCCTTACGTCGCGGCCCCGCCCTTACGTCGCGGCCCCGCCACTAAGTCGCGGCCCCGCCACTAAGACGCGGCCCCGCCACCCAGTCGCGGCCCCGCCGCCTACTCGGACGCGGCCCCGCCGCCTGCTAAGACGCGGCCCCGCCGCCTGCTAAGACGCGGCCCCGCCGCCTGCTAAGACGCGGCCCCGCCGCCTGCTCAGCCGCGGCCCCGCTGCCCTCTACGACGCGGCCTCCGCCGCCTGCAGACGCCGCGGCCTCCGCCGCCTGCTCAGCCGCGACCCCGCCGCCCGCTACGACGCGGCCTCCGCCGCCTGCTCAGCCGCGGCCCCCGCCGCCCTCTACGACGCGGCCTCTGCCGCCTGCTCAGCCGCGGCCCTGCCGCCTCCTACGACGCGGCCCCGCAGCCTGCTCAGCCGCGGGTGCTTCCAGCGGCCCTCCGCTGCATCCTGACGGCCCGCCGCTGCACCCTGCGGCCCCGCCACTGCGCCTGTCCCGGCTCCGCCACTGCACCCTGACGGCCCCGCCGTCCCCTGTCTCGGCCCCACCGCTGCACCCTGACGGCCCCGCCGTCCCTTGTCCCGGCCCCGCCACTACACTGCAGCCGAGCCGCCCAGCAGCAGCCGAGCCGCCCAACAGCAGCCGAGCCGCCCAGCAGCAGCCGAGCCGCCCAGCAGCAGCCGAGCCGCCCAGCAGCAGCCGAGCCGCCCAGCAGCAGCCGAACCGCCCAGCAGCAGCCGAGCCGCCCAGCAGCAGCCGAGCCGCCTGGTACCTGAGCCGCCCGAGCCGCCCGAGCCGCCCGAGCCGCCCGAGTCGCCCGAGCCGCCCGAGCCGCCCGAGCAGCCCGAGCCGCCTGCTACTGACCTACCCGACTCTCCCATCCCGGTGAGACTTTCAGCTGCTGCCATGGCCACCCCCAATGTTCTCACTTTTGACGCTGAGGGGAGGGCCATTGACTTTGCCGTCTGGATCGAGGACCTGCAGCTGTACTTACTGTGTGATGCGGTAGATGAGGTCTCTCTCTTTGACTTTGTCTCTGGCGCTGTCCCTGCCCCGCCTGCTGATGCTGACTCTGCCGTTCGCTCCAAGTGGGCGACCCGCGATGCTGCTGCACGTCTTGCTGTGCGTCGCCACCTCCCTTCCTCTGAGCGTGCCCACTTTAGTCAGTGCAAGACCGCTCAGGCCTTGTACGACGCTGTAGTTGCGCGCTACTCCTCCCCTTCCTCCGCTACCCTTAGCCGCCTCATGCTACCGTTTCTCTTCCCTGACCTCGCTTCCTTTCCCACTGTCGCTGACCTCGTTACCCACCTCCGCGCTAGTGACACCCGCTACCGCGCTGCCCTTCCTGCTGAGTTCCGCGCTGCGAACCCTCCTCCCATGTACATCACTCTCTACTTTCTCGTCACCCGTCTCCCTGAGTCCCTTCGTGTCGTTAGGGACCAGTTTCTCTCTGTCTGTCCCACCACTCTCACTGTCGACCTCCTTGAGGAGTCCCTGCTAGCGGCTGAGAAGAGTATTGTCGCTGTAGGGGCCTCTCGGGGTGACCCTCGCACCCCCATCTTTGAGGGGTGTGGTCCCTCCCCCCTGCTGCCCTCTGTCGCCTCTGCCGCTGCGGCCGACCTCGTTGGTTTTGAGTCGGTCGGCGCGGCGTCTGCCCCCAGTGGCAGACGCCGCACTGGCAAGGGCAAGGGGGGCAAGGGAGCGGGTGGAGCCAGAGGGGGCGGTGGAGGAGGCGGTGGGGGTGGAGGGGGGAGTGGGGGTGGCGGGGGGGGTGGTGGCGGGAGTGGAGGTAGTAGTGGCGGCGGTGGAGGCGGAGGTGGCGGCGGAGGTGGTAGCGGAGGAGGCGGTGGGAGCGGTGGGAGCGACGGTCCTGGTGGGGGAGGTGGCGGTGGCGACGGGGGTGGCGGTGGAGGCGGGGGTGGCGGTGGAGGAGGGGGTCGGAGTGGCTCGTCCCAGCGGAGCAGCTCTGGGGGTGGTCAGCGCCAGCAGCAGCAGCAGCAGCAGCCGCAGCAGCAGCCGCAGCAGCAGCAGCGCTCTCGCACCGTCCCCGGCCCTCAGCAGCTCCGTGAGTGGTACTTGCAGCGTCAGCGCGGTGGTGCGCTTGGTCCCTGCCCCTACGTTCTTCGCACTGGTGACCGTGCAGGGGAGAGGTGTGGAGGCGCCCACACAGCCCGTCGCTGCTTTGGCCGCCTGACCGACGCCTGGCGTCAGCAGTTTCCGGAGGCCGC